AAAAAACTCTTAATGAGCGTGAGGCGGCCTACATGAAGAGAGAAGTACTAACAAAAATCATCAAGGCGAAAATTTTTCCTCAAAGGCGACTAGCCTTTCTCAATGGTGACAGCCAACGTGCCCTCTGGGGAAAAGGACAGGCTAAATTCGATCCGTGGAACGTGCAGATACAAAATGACGTTTTCGTCCCACGTGCCCCTGTCCAGGTTATGTGAGAGTAATAGGAACAATTGAAAGAAAGCACAAAACCCGCAGTTGAATAGGAATGAATAAGCACAGCATTCATCATGGATGGGCGTCCTCCGGTCGGCCGTGGAAACGTCGCCCGAATAGGCCTTAGAAGAATTCAATCATGAGAAAAAGTAGATCAATACGAGCAAGCGGGGTAACTGAGGAGGCACTTTCAAAAGAAATTAGCCCAGGAGAAGTGACAAGTGGAACAACGCGAATATTCAAAGAGCGGCTCCTCAGAGCTGCAACAGCAGCAGCATCCTCAGCGGCCAACCCAAGCAATAACAACACATCAATCTGTAACGAGAAGTTTGACGTATTTCTTCCAAATGCCCGGCCACTGACGTTATTGCAAAAGAAGTCGCATAAATATTTCGTCGGCGATGAACGTTCTTGGGATTCACACGCTTTCATGAGATAAAGGGTTATCTTCAAAGGAACGAAGTCCGCCTCCGAAGTCTTTTTGAGAGTCACAAGATTGCCCACTAAAGGGCAGAACTGCACTGACACAAACACACATTTAGATAGCAAAATCCGGGTTCGAGTCACGAGCGAGGTATAGCTTTTGCCCTTAGCTCCGCAGGCCTGGGGTGACTCTCGAATCACGGGTAATGGCAAAAAACAGATGTGGAAGTCACACCACACCTTCAGAGCAACGAGAAGACTGGTTATGAAAATGACCGTAAAGAGCTACTGTAAAGAAACAACGTACACAGTTGTGCAGTGGTATTCAGCAGTATTTGGCCATTAGAAAGCTGAGGAGCGTATTTTAGATCCCTATGCGGCGACCAAGGTGCACACGGTGCATACACTCCCTATCCCTGAGTCAGAGTAGGCGTGGCATTTGAACATGGCACGGAACTGGTTACTCGTGGAATATTCTGGGACAACTGTCATCTTGTTCTGTGTTGGACAGAGACACGACAACAATTGTGTCAAGATGAAAATATCTCACCAGAAGCATGACA